TCTACCAATTCTGAGAATGCTATGCTAATGATTTCCGGAAAACGTAAAGTTGTTATAGTTGTTTTTGAAATGTAGTTGTGGCGGTGTTTCCCAGTTTCCAATTTTCATCTAAACAGCGATTCGGAAAAAAAATGACGTTTCAAGTAGGTCAACAAATGAAATAAGATTGAAATCAGATCAAAACATTAATTAATAAAGAAAATATAAATTATGTTCTGGGAAACAGCTCTGTCGTGTAGGAGATAGTCATGTCGCCATGGAGATAGCCCTATGGTTACGTACAAAGTATTTGATTGTTTGCGTATATTTTATTTACTTCATTTATCACGGCACAAAAAAATTAAAAGAATTAATATAAAACTAATGAAATTACTTTGCATGTTTTTCATGACGTAATGTACAAAATAAAAAAATATATATTTACAGCGTGTTCACTGTACACAAATTTCACTATGTATATGTGATAAATAGCAATTTTATTATCAATTCGTGTAGATTCAATGATAAATGAAGTATTGAACCTGGGCTCATTCAATATCCTTTTAGTTTATTCACATATGAAAACATTTGCCACGTTACATCAAGAACTTGACTCAAAATACACGTTAAGATTTTAACTTTTTGTACAGAATTAACAAAACATAAACATAGTAAATATTTGTCCGTTTCAGATGACTGCATCAAGACACGAGTAGGTTTTCTAATGTGTCGGGTACACCGAATATCAAAATCCATAATGTTATTTATACGATATTGTATTTTAAGATACGACAAAACTTAAAAGTCAGATAGAAATTCTCACGAATGATCTTAAAAAAATAAACATTGTCATGGAAATATTTTGATTAGGTGTTTAGTTTAATATTTCAGCAACCGTATTAGCTAATTTGATGTACAATAAAGATATTTTTCATTTCCTTTTCGTGGTGCTCGTTTCGGCCACAGTGCGTTACTTTTTCACAATGCCTTCGTTATTTGCGTTAGTTAAAATGTAAATTCCCTAGAAAACAAAATCTTCTCAGAACCATTTAAAGATCCTGTAACGCAATTTGTTAATAGTTATAAATCATAAATCTGATGCTCAAATGAAGATTTATCAATATTTAAAAAAGAATTGTTTCTAAAGATATTACCAATTTTTAAATTTAGTGTAAATAAAGGGAGGTAATAAGATATTTTTTTGGATAAAATCTAAAAAATGTGGAAACAAAGTGATCCCTCGGAATCATTAATCCCAACAAAATAACATGAAAATTGCAGACTCGGTTTGATTGCGTCTATACATGAGTGGTAATGAATTAGTGCAACATCCCTTACGTCCTTAAGCACCGGCTTGAGCGGTACTCAACTCTCACCACTTAATAGTGCTGGTATCAATGATTCCGAAGGACCAGAGAAAAACAACAACACTGAAGTGAAGTACAGGGCAACCATTTACAGCTGCCAGATTTACAATAAAAACTGAATGCATCAACTTTAACGTTTAATAATATGTATATTAACAGTTGCTGCACCTTAATTACAACATACAGGATCTTTTAAAACAAGTACACTAAAAGCTCAATAAATATTTCTTCACAATAGCCGCATTCATATTTCTATTCTCCCATGTGAACGGTTACTATGTAACGCTTAAAACTCTAAGGCATAGCAAATTGTTTAGAGCAATGTATACATACTATGTTCTTGTTAGGTAATTGTGTGTGTGTGAAATTAGAGAAATACAGAATTCCTAAAGAAAGCCTTACACGACAAAATTGAAAATGTTGCAGGCTCGGTTTGATTGAGCCTGTTCATGGCCGGTATTGGAAAGTGCAAGTTACCGTCCACGCCCGAAAGTCTCAGTTTATACATAGTGTTCACATTTGTATAGCTTACCACTCATCCTGAAATTGGGATAAAAGTAAGATGACTTCGTGAATGATGTAGCAGGAATAACTGCTAATATAAAACAAATATTGTGAAATAGATGATTTTTGTCTTCATTATGATACCCGTTACTCTCCTAAAGATATTTTTCACCGAAATTCTTTGCCAATTTCATTGTTGGTCCCCTTTGAAACCATAGAGATATCTCCTTGGCGACATGACTACCTCCTTCACGACAGAGCTGTGTAGCAGAATAAGTATCCTATATTTTCTTTAAAAATAATTCTGTTCTGATTTTAATTTTATTTGACTTTTAGACTTTATATCTACTTGAACGTATTCGTTTTTAATCTGTATCGCTGTTCAGATCAAAATAGGAAGAAAAAAAATCTGTTTCTTGATGAAACGGTCCATTTCATTGCTTATTCGCCAACTGGAAAACGGCGCTAGCATTTTTATAATTTCGATATTTGGTGAAAAGTTTTCAAAATATGTAAAACATGACAACTCTTTACCTTTGTTGACATCTAATTTTAGCGACATGCACTAGCTAGGAAGTAGCGATAGAGCGATTTACGGAATACCTCCGAAAGAGGTAGCTCTTTTGTTTACTCGGCGTGTATCCCAGAGTTTGTTTGATTATCTCAGTATGCATATAAATTAAAATTTCATAAAACATAAAAAACAATCCTAGATAAATATAAAACCGTGTCTACAGAGAACAGCATTCATTCAAAAGCATGAATTATGAATACATATTTTTTTTGATTCGCTATCACATTTATTTGATCATCAAGGTGAAACAATATAAAATAAACTGGTTTAAAACTATAAACGTAAAAATAAAGTTGTTTACATATATCGTCTGTTAACTTTAATATTTTCTTTACCAGTTTTATATGGTATTGTGATTGATCAACTGTTGGCACGCGCTTCCTAACGTTTTTTTTTTTTTGTATTTTACGCGAAAATAAGTCAATCGGTCAGTAGTTATATTGGTCTTTTTTTCTATCAAAATTAAAGAAATTCAATTTTAAACTCCTCGCGGTCAGTTACTACTGCCTTCACACAAACCACGTGATGATGGTCTTATCACATAATTGTCTCAAGATGGCGGATACGCCATTGTTATATCTGATATTAAACAGGAACATTATAACTTTAGCTCTGGTTTCAACATTGTCAACATGATTGAAAACATTTATTTTTTGTTGAGTGTAGATTCGAAATTATAAATTACTTGAATGATTTCTCTTTCGAAAGCGGTCATTGTTTTGGAAATAAACGGTGCGATATTATTTTCATAATGTTTATATCACCGAAATTGTTTTTTATTTTAGTTCATATCTAATACCTTACGGTCTTGAAACATTAACAAAACAGTATTTTTTTTAGAAATACATCAAAATTAAAAAAAATATCATAACGTCAAAACTGTTGACGCAAATGATGTGCTGGCAGAGATCTAATCCTGTAAAGGGAGATCACTTCGTGGGAAATTTTCATGAGAATAAAAACCGAGGTTTTAAATATAACCCATGAATGTCCGAAAAATATTAATAGCACGGTAGTTTAAATTAATTATGAATATTCGTCTTGTGTCATTAGGTAAAGTGCGAAAAATTTAGTCCAACCTACCAAAGGGGTACGGCTCATTGAATGTTCACAAAATATGTATTTGATGGTAGAAAACAGTTACCCTAAGTCAGAAATGAATTCTAAGTCCATTCCCATAACACTATATACTAATATATAGACAAGGGTAACAACTCCCATAAGAAGGTGTCTATGCCTAATCAGGGTTTTTGCCTCGCAGTTTTTTACACGATACAGCATAAATAAAAAGAAATTATGCAATTTGTAGTCGAATGATTTATCTATCGAACCAATGTAAAACTTTTCTTATATCTCTTATACTTAACGAGTACTGGCCGTCAAAGTAACAAAAAACTGTTCATTTTCGCGAGGTCGACATCGATCGTGGCTACGCAGGAAACACAAAGTTACACGACTGTTGCAATCGTTGGAGATAATATCACAAGCATTTATCATGCTGGGCAATTAAAAATACATAAAAGTAATCAAAATATACCAATAACCTATAATGACAATGTGATATCAACTCACCTGCGGCTTCAAAATATTTCCCCGTTGAAATTTCTATAAAACACCGCCATCTTGACGAATGTAAACAACCGTCACCTGATTGGTCGGTTTATTTCCCGAAAATATACACGTAAATTTCCGAAAAAAAACGACCAATCAGGTGACGTTTGTTTACATTCGTCAAGATGGCGGTGTTTTATAGAAATTTCAACGGGGAAATATTTTGAAGCCGCAGGTGAGTTTATATCACATTGTCATTATAGGTTATTGGTATATTTTGATTACTTTTATGTATTTTTAATTGCCCAGCATGATAAATGCTTGTGATATTATCTCCAACGATTGCAACAGTCGTGTAACTTTGTGTTTCCTGCGTAGCCACGATCGATGTCGACCTCGCGAAAATGAACAGTTTTTTTGTTACTTTGACGGCCAGTACACGTTAAGTATAAGAGATATAAGAAAAGTTTTACATTGGTTCGATAGATAAATCATTCGACTACAAATTGCATAATTCCTTTTTATTTATGCTGTATCGTGTAAAAAACTGCGAGGCAAAAACCCTGATTGGGCATAGACACCTTCTTATGGGAGTTGTTACCCTTGTCTATATATTAGTATATAGTGTTATGGGAATGGACTTAAATTCATTTCTGACTTGGATAAATGTTTTTTACCATCAAACACTTATTTTGTGAACATTCAATGAGCCGTACCCCTTTGCAACCTACGAGACATTAAAAACACTGTATTATAGTGCATTATTCCGTAAAATAAAAACTGCATTTTAAGGATAGAAAGGTTCATGCTACTGACAATATTTGAAAATTCTCAAATACATGATCATTTTAAGTGAATTGATATATATTTAAAAAAAACACCTTTATAATGGTTATCGACTAGAAATAAGAATAATGAAGAGTGTTTAGGATAGAATATAAAATTTACCTTAAAATGAAAAAAGACTACCCATATTTGTTCTAAAAAATGGAAAAATACTGATCATTCCGACGGATATTTATAGAATTATTCTTGATTCGCTTGTATTATTGGTAAAATATAAAATCTACTGCAAACGTGCAAATGTATGGAACGCCATAGTTGCCTCATGTTGTTAAATTTCTTTTTACCTTCACTTGAAAGCGTCTTGTTATGTCAAATATGAGTGTTGTGTTTGTCGATTTGTCTAAACATTGCCTTATTAATGCGTAACAGTAGTCTAATCACTACTTCAAATTGTTATGTTGACTTGTCCTTACATTGTTTAATTATTTCAAACAGTAGTGTTATCATGTCAAAATATCGGAGGCTATGACGTTCCATAGAAATGTTTAACTGTTTTTACTTTTACCTGCACAGCTGGATGAGCGGAATTTATAAATAATAATTAGAAAGCGAGAAACTAGATAGATAGATTTATTTCGGCATATGAAGCATATACATAGTTGACAACATAACATAGGATAAGATAGTGAGCATTATTAAATACTATATCACATACGAGAAAACTATAAAAACTACGAACTACGAACCTGTAAGTACATAATTTAATGATTCACTCAAGATTTGTCCACTTATTTATGTGTAAATGTGTAATTTTTCATGAATTTATTTCTATAGATGTCGCAATTTAGGAATCTTACTTATCATACAATAATATTGTATTTGTAATTTCATATATTCAATTTCATCTTTACATCATTTTTTAATTTGAATAAGCACACGTATAAAGGATCTTTACGATATTAAATTTAACTCAAAAGTTGTTTATTTTCAATCTTTATATTTCGATAACAACTCATCCATTCTATTGTCAGTATAAAAGTTATATTTGGTCCCACATTTTTTGTTTTCCAGAACAGTACTTTCTTGATCAACATTTGTATATTTAAGAGTCAAAATGCGGAACATTTAAACGTTGTTTTTTGGTGAGTAAACTTTTGTTAATTATGATAGAACATGTTATACATATATGATTTAATTTATTTCGTTTATATACCATGTTGATCACAGTTTTAATGATATATTAAGTGCAATTGCCTCAGTTAGTTTCTTGATTGCTGATATATATTTTTTCATGAAAATAGCTGGCACCTTTCTTTCCATATAAAAACTTTTTTTTTATTTATCAATTTAATTCATCAAAGTTTAAATACCAGTCTATATTATTCAAGTGTGTAAAGTTGTTAGTAGACATGCAGATACCAGCCCATAAGAATAAGTTTAAACTAATCGACCAACAGCCGGTTAAGATTTGTCTTCCTAACGTCTTCCTATAACTGTCAAATTTACTTTTTTATTTACACTTGAAAATTCTTACATATACCCATATTTACCATGTATGCAATTAATAAAGATTTGTTACCAGTTTATTAAAATATTAACTTAACAACGTTTATTGACTTATCTTGTACGATTCGCGTGCTCCTACATGCTCCAAACACGGGTCACATGACCCTCAATACCCCTCTCCCATATTCTCAAAGAAATAAATTGCGCCTCAATATCCCTGATGTTTTTATTGATTTAAATCGCTGTTGTTGTTATTTTTAATAAAACTAAAATACCTTTTTTAACAAAATATTGATAATCTATGTTTAAAATTGTAGGTATTTTGTTGATTCTACTTGTTTTTCCGACAAAAGAAGCAGGTGAGTTCAATTTTTCTGAACTTAAATAGTGTTTAGAAGTGTTGAGAATTGAGTACCGCTCAAGCCGGTGCTAGGGGGCGTGAGTGATGTTGCACTTTACATTATCCCTCATGTACAGACTCAATCAAACCGAGTCTGCAGTTCCCTTGTAATTTTGTTGTGATTAATCCTTCCGAGAGATCACTTTGTTTCCAGATTTTTATGATATTTTGAACATATTATATATCTGGACTTGATTACATCGAAAGTTACATAGAGTATTATACTTGGCTCCTAATCTTGATAATTCATTGGTTGACGCGAGTCTGTTTCTATTCAGTTGTTTTTGTTTGTATTTCTATTATATATAAAGTGTTCTATAAAAGAAATAATAGCCATGACTTCGAGCTTTTCAGATTTTAAGCAATTTTTTTTATAGTTTTGTCTACGCCTGCTTGTATAAAGATCTCTTCAAACTATAGGTAAAAAGGTATGAAAGGTATTAAATACTGAATTAATTGAATGAGTTGAATAGATTATTTTAGACAAACCTCTGACACTGCTTTAATTTGCTACACTGTAAAAAGAATCAACGATATTCACTATCACTGTTTTAACTATGCTTGTAATCTGACGTTTTGAAAAAGATAAGTGTTGTTGTTGTTATTATTGTTGTTGTTATTGGAGATGTAAAAATGGGGGATATTTAAGATGACGAAAAAGTTACAATTCTTTCATTGTTTAAAAAAAAATCTCGATCTAAAACTAGATATTTACATGGAATCAAAATTCTTCTTTTATACTAGTAATGCAATAAAACTTATTTACAGTTGTAAAATGTACATGTTTTATGAAAGATTTGCTTCGTTCTAAATATAAAGGACATCATATTGAAAAAGAATGTTCTGATTAAACACTTTCTTAGAGCATAATTTACACATGCGATCAATTCCGTACGTTTTTAGCTCACATGTCACAAAGTGACATGGTGATCTTTTGTGATCGCTTTTCGCTGATCGGTCGTCCGTCCGTAAACTTTTACTTCAAACGACATCTCCTCATAAACGGCTAAGCCAATTTCATCCAAACTTCACAGGAATGTTTCTTTGGTAGTCAACTTTAAAAAGTGTTCAAAGAATTTAATTCCAAGCAGAACTCTGGTTGCCATGACAACCAAAAGAAATTTTTTAAAATATCTTCTTTTAGAAAACCGAAAGAGCTAGAGCTAAAATATACGCATGAAACATCATCTAGTCAGTGTCTATCAAAGTGGTTCAAATAAATGCCCTGGGGTCAAAATTTGCCTCGCCCCGGGGCTCATTGATTTTCCTTATTTGTATATAGTAAAAACTTAAAACATCTTCTTTTTAAAAGCCCAAATAGCTAGAGCTTAGATATTAATTGCGGGGTGGTCTTAATTGTGAATATTCTTATTTCTTACATACTTTATGACCATGGTCTATTTTAGACATGTTGTATGAGCAAACAATATGTATCTTAACAATATAAAAGTATGTTATGATGAGGTAAATATATTTCTGAAGAAATTTAACATTGAAATTCTCTTTGGTCTGATTTCAATATTAATTATTATATGATATATAAAGTTCACCTATAAATTCTTCATATAATAAATGTGCTGAAAGCAACATTTAACCACTCTAAAATTTACTTTCTCACCTTATTTCATACAATAAGAACATTTGTTCACACCTTGTGAAATCAAGTGTCATGCCTAAGAGCATTCAAGCAGATAATGACAACAAATTTAAGATTTAGGTAGGTGCTGACTTTAATATCAACGGTCTCATTAGTGGGGTCAATTAAAGAATAAAACAATGAATTGGGACCGAATCTGGTGGTTTTAAAAGTGGATAAGCGGGGTGGTCTTAATTCTGGATCATGTAAACATTGATATAAAGAACAGAAAATTCCGTTCTTTTAAAAAATAAATAATAGCGGGGTGGTCTTAATTCCGGGGTGGTCTTAAGGAGGGATTCTACTGTATTTTATGCATTGTTGCACCAATACGAATCGACAAAATCACACTCAGAACTGTGGTCAAGCGATCATTGTCACGAATGGTCTTGAAAAGTAAGCAATTTCTTGGCAATAACCTTGATGATTGACAAAGTATATTGTCTTCCGTATGCAGCTATTCCTTTTTTCAGTTTGGTTAAATAAAAAAATATATTGACCACTTTACTTACCGCGTTTGAAATACTGCCAGGTAACAGCCATTTATTGCACAAGTGTTACTTTTTGCACGAATCGTGCGTTATTGTCACTTTCCTGCGTTACTGGATAAACACGGTTATGTAACGAACGCTCACCGAGAGCAATGTTTACCCAGTAAAATACTGAGCATTAACAACACTTGAACTTTTAAAAAACATAATCATGGCAGGTGATACATTACGTAACTCGACAAATTAAGTTTTAATTCCATTAATAAATAATCCTTGGATATTAAGGTCTCCACTGAGTTTTAAATTCACTTGTGTTTGAGAATTACATTTCATTTGATGTAGGTATAGACCAATTACTTCTATTCAGATTATTCGCTTACTCCGTTTTTCCAAAATAATAATTTCAAATGTAAAAATGAAAAAAGTTTAAAAAAAATTGGATTAAGCAGAGCATAAAAAACGATTTTCAATTTATTTCTGAGTACATTTATTAATTATCTCTTGCATATTTATCTGTGTTAGTGCCCAAGATAGATCCCTATAAGAAATGCAAATTTTATAGACCATAGTGAAGACTTACAGTATCATTGCATTGTGTCACGCCAAAGAAGTATAAATGTATTTTTAACATTTGCCGTTGATACCGTTGATACTTACATATTATGAAAGCATTATGATGAATATAAAACAACAGCAAGGGGAATAAATAAAGATACTATAAGTAGGAAAGAAACAAATCTTATGCACTGTACTTTGACTCAAGGAGAACGAAACAACTTCTAAAATGTTAGTTATATAACTTTGAATAGTTTGTTGTAGTCCAAGCAAAAGCAAAATAATAATACAGGGAAATTTAGCAAAAAGAATGACTCATATATTATGAAGTGATGACTTATAGTTGCTATTCTCTTAGCTAACGAAATATATATAGCTATTTTTGTTCTGCTCGCGTGCTTGTGCTTCTATAAATATTTCTTCGCAAAATGCAATCGACCTCCATACTGGCCTTTGACTTCACAAGCATTTTAGCATTTTGAGCATCTCAATTTATATGTACGCATATTGGATTTGCATTTATCTCTATGAACCTGGTAGTGTTTATACGGAAACAAATAGTTTAGAATTAAATAAGATTATTCTTGAACTTTCAGATAGTGAAATTAATTTGAAGTGTTCGGATGCATGTACACAGGCGATAGAACATAAAAGAGAATTATTTAACCAATTTTTTTTAATTCAGGTTTAGCTGAAGCGAAAAGCTATTACCTGTTTTCTTGTCCACTGAGTTCGTCGCAATCCTCTCTTTCCTCGAGCAACACCAAAGACTGCCCAAACAGAAGAAAAAGAGACATTCCGTATGGCTTTAGACATACCTATATTCAAATAGAATCAAGATGCTACGACTGGGGAGACTTAAATTACCCTCCTGTGAGTTTGTTTGAATTATAGACATATCAAAAGGGTATAAAGCTTGCTATGATATCATAACAAATATTTTCGTAAAAATCGATAAACAGAAAGGTTATGTTGTTTTCTTTGTTATATGATCGAATCTTGAAACAGTTTTAACATGATATCATGCCTTTGCTATTTTAGACCCATTGCACATTTACAAAATAAAATGCCCCGGAACTAAATACTGATACACTATTTTTAGTTTTTATCGATCCATTCACGTTGACATTTAATAATTAAATTCAAAATTAAAAATCAATTGTGGCAAGTAAACGTGTATCTTTATCAAACGAAGACTTTCCGACTAATATCTAATGCATTTCAACCCTTACTCTTCATTAACGTTAACTACAGCGGGCCAGCGATTGCGATGATTGTGAACTTTATTGTTGCGTGCAAAAGCGTAGGCTAGAGCTTACCGGAACTACCTCGTGTGCTAATAGAATCAGTGAGTTTGAATCTGCCTGGACAAATAACAGGAGAACATATAACTTCCTTTTTTGGAACTCCCAGACGTATGTATTTCAACAACTACATTAAAAATTAACAACAATTCAACAGACAATGAGATGCAATATATTTATTAAATTAATTTTAATTGATTTTCTTACTAAAAAGTAAATTTTTATGTTTTAAAATATATTTTGCCATCGTCCGTAATTTAAATATTCAACAGAAAATATAAGATATATAGACATAAGCAAAGGGTAATGCAATGATGTGAATTGAAAATGATTTTTGTATTTGTTTGTATGGGTTTTTTTCGGCACGTCAACACATAACTGGCCATACCGTGCCAAATGCTATAATAGGCTTAAAATGTTATGTTATGTTTTGTAAATGACAATAAAAATGAGTCCATTAGATCCTAGAATACAAGTTTATCTCTTGCAAATAATCAATGATGTTTTCTGATGGAATTGTATTAAAGCGTTTTTTGAGTAAATTTACACGATAAAGTCTATAACGGGCCTGTGAAAAATCATGACATTTAAAAAGAAAATGTCTTTTAGTAAAATTTTCATTACAAGCTAAATAGAAAGGGGCATTGTCATTCGTGAGGAGATAAAAGTTGGTAATTTAATTGTGTCGAATCCGGCATCGAATAAGAACTATTTTATCATAGCGGTTTGACAGAGATGGAGACGGTAACAAAACAAAGATGGGTCAATATCGTTAAGTTTATTAAAAACGGCATTGTTCCAATTTGCTTTCCATTCAGATGATATGAGTTTATTCATAGCCGGTCTGAAATCACAAGAAGTTGCAATAAGTCAGTTTGGTGAAAATTAAATGATTGTTTAGCGAAAGCGTCTACTTTCTCATTTCCTCGTATACCTACATGACTTGGAATCCAATATAATTTAACAGAGTTTGTTTTAAGTACATCATGAAATCGTAAAAGAAGTTTCTGAATCATGATATGGTCAGATTTTTTATTATTAATGGATATTTAAACAGAAAGCGAGTCAGAAAATATCACACATTTTTCATGAGTATGCTGTACTATGTATGACAATGCTTCATATATAGCTTTTGCTTCTGCGGTAAAAATTGAAGCATTATCTGGTAACCTCATACTAAATTCAAAATTATTTCAAAACGCAGCTGCACCTACTTTGCAACCTTCTTAAGAACCGTCCGTATAAATATGTATAAAATCTTCATGTTCTTCCCTAATTTCTGGAAACGTCTTTTAATAATCAGGTGAATTTGATAACTTTTTTAAATTTGAAAGGTCAGTATTCATTTTCGGGGAATTATAAGTCCAAGGTAGGACTTCCTCCTCGTCATTTTGAAGGATACTGTCTGGATTAATTATAAGTTTATCTAAATCATCTTTTAAACGAAGGCCTAATGATTTAATTTCCTTTGCTTTGTTAACAAATTTTGCAGTATAACTTGGATTGAAAATAATATTTTTAGCTGGATTTTTGCTATTAGATGAAATTCTAGTTGCATATTGAAGTGATTGTTTTTTTTCGACGTAGATGAAGTAACGGTTCTCCAGCTTCCGCATATAGACTTTCTACAGTTGAGGTGCGAAAAGCACATAAAGCTAATCGTAAACCCTGGTGATGTATGGTATCTAGCATTTGAAAATATGATTTTCTTGCAGACCCATACACTACAGAACCATTATCTAATTTTGATCGGATAAGACTTCTGTATAATTTCAGTAATGTGGAAGAATTTGATCCCCAATTTGTACTTGATAAAACCTTGTGTAAATTTAAAGCTTTTAGACATTTTGTTTTCAAATGTTTAATATGTGGTATAAAAGAAAGTTTGTTTTATCAAATATAATTCCTAAAAACTTAGCTTCATCAACTACTGGAATTTTAGAACCAGATATTTAAAGTTCAGGGTCATTATGATGTTTCCGTAATCGAAAAAAAATGAAAATTGAGTTCTTGACTTTGAAAATTTAAAATCATTTGCTGTTGCCCACTTTTGAATTTTATCTAAATTTTGTTGAAGTTGCCTTTCAATTGTTCTCATACTTTTTGACCGATAGCAGATAAGAAAATCATCTACATATAGAGAACAATCTATGCCTCGTGTACGAGCGCTAGCAATATTGTTTATTTTAAGGCCAAAAAGTGTAACAGAAAGTATACTTCCTTGAGGAACACCTTGTTCTTGTTGGTGGTCCTCAGAAAAAGTTGAACCAAGTCTTACTTTAAAGTGTTTATCGTTTAGAAATCCAGAAATGAAAAGAAGAAGTCTGCCTTTAAGTCCAGCATGATTTTGATCTTTTAGGATACCATATTTCCAAGTCGTATCGTAAGCCTTCTCAAGATCAAAGAAAATTGATACCAGGTGTTGTTTATTTACAAAGGCTTCTCTAATTAAAGTTTTAAGTCGTACAAGATGATCGTTGTTTACGAAAACCTGACTGAAAATTAGTGATAATTTCATTAGATTCTAGATACCAAACTAAGCAATTATTTATCATTCTCTCGAATGTTTTGCAGATGCAACTTGTTTGTGAAATTGGACGATAATTTGTGGAGTCTGTCGTATCTGTTCCAGGTTTAAGGATAGGAATAACCAACGCATTTTTCCAAGTGTTGGAAACTTTACCAGATACCCAAATTTTGTTACAAATTTCAAGAAGCAAGTCAATAGATTGGGGTGGTAAAGGTTTAAAAAACTAGTAGTAAATTTTGTCCGGCCCTGTAGCACTGTCTTTTGCAGTTTTGATCGAATAAATTAAGTCATCAATAGAGAAAAGGGAATTATAGTCTTCATCGTTTGTTGAAGTAAAGTTAATATGCTCTTTCTCAGCTTTACATTAGTGTTGTTGAAATTTATTTGAATGGTTTTTTGATGAAGAGTCAAAAGTTTTAGCCAAAGTTTCTGCAATATCAGTTTTTGTTTTGGATTATTTGCCATCACCAGGTTTTAAGTGAACAGTTGGACTACTTTTATACTTACCACTTTATTTTCGTACTGCATCCCAGACTTTCTTAAAAGAAGTATTTGAATTAATATTTAAAACATATGATTGCCATGATTGGCGATTAGATTGACGAATTGGTTTTCTAGCTTTGGCTCTAAATATTCTGTAATTTTCAAGGTTTTCTATTCTAGGACGATGTTCAAAATTTTTAAGTGAAGCTGTACGTATATGAACGGCTTTTTACATTCATCGTTAAACCATGGTTTTTAATTTTGTTACTTTTATAATGTTTTGTCAATGGAATAACTTTGCAAGCAATCGCATGTAATGTTGAAGAGAACGTTTCAGCTATATCAGCAGAAGTGAAATTAAATTCGTTTTTTGTTAGATCAATAGATTTTTGTAAATTATAGTTTAAGTTAAAATTCTAAATTGCTAAATGCAGTATTTTGATATTAATGAATTTCAGGTATTCCTAGAAGATGAGTAAATTTCTGAACTCATGCGACGTCAGTGTATTTTTCGACAAAGAAATACATATAACTTTGTAACATCTAATGAAATTAAAGAAATGTATGAAGTTGTTACTTTCATTTTATCCCTTTCAGTTTTAAATTTATAGCCACAAGTGCACTAGACTGGAATATGTAGATGAGCTATATGGAGACATTAAATACATAATAGCCATTGTAAACAGAATTATAGGAGACTGTTTATTTCTAAGAGGGACAACTCCACAAACCATATAGGAACAAGTTACTGTGCTGTATAATTGTCTCCCTTAGCTTCTCATATTTCATATTATCATTTTTAAACAAGTTATGTCATATAAATTAATCAAAAACACATAATGAAAATATATGTATACTAAAAACAATTAAAAACACAACTTTATACATGGTTAGTTACCACTACGGACCTACTTCTCTTGAAGTTTATAAAATGTAATATTACTACTAAGTATTTTATGGTATGAGACTTAAAATCTTTTCATCTATAACTTCTCAATGTCAGTATATATGCATTGAATCTAGAGGAGGCATAAATAAACTTTGACGTATATCATTTTAAAAGGTTACAATAGAGAAATACATGCTTTTCATCTTCTGTATAGAACATAATATTATCATAATGTCCGACCGTTCATAATGCCCTGTCTAGAGTTTTATATGGCTACATAACATCTAAATTTTGCTAAAGTAGACCATAATCTCCAACAAAAGCGCATCAGGTTGACTAAACTATTGTGAACGACAGTACACAAAAATGTTTGTTTGTAGCGGGGTTTTAGCTTGGAAAAAATAAACCAATAAACAAAACAAACAAAAACAAACAACTCATTTGCCGTGTTCCGGATTACAATTATTGTGCCACCTACTTAAAAAATGTGGATGATACAAACTTTTGCGCGTGTAGATTTACTTCAGCAATCCTGAAAACGACTTTGCGTAGCATTGTTTCTTACTATTAACGAAAACACTCTCAAACTTTACTGAATTCATCTGTATCAATTCAAAATAATTGAGCATGCATAAAAATATATATCTTCACACCCCAAACTAGCCTTCAATGAGCAAGGTGGCGCTTTATATATGATTATCCCTGCTTGAAAGCAGATAATACAATGGAGTTATTGGAAAACCTAATGCCAAGGGTTCTTTATTGTCAAGCAGAACAAGACATGTTAAGAATCATGTGCATTCAGCATCGTGACAATGAAGAGATAAGACCTCTTTTGTCAAGTTGTCTGGATAATATATAGAGAAAAACTAAAACATATGGAATTCTGCCTCTCAACACTGAAGAAGCTATATTTCTTTTGATGTTTGTTTTTATCTTAATTTTAAAACTGATGTATAACCGATGGATCATATTTAATTGTTAATGAACTTGAATATGTACTCAAGTATGTTTCTCATGTCCCTTTTATTAGACGCTCGTTTTGCATTGGTTTTAAAATCTTGCCTATGTGTAAATGTTATGTGAAAATAACCCTTGCAGTCTTTTCAACTACTTTAAAATGATGCTCCTTTTTTTGTTTTTATAAATTGTTACATTTGATTGCCAGATGGTTAATATTCAGTTTTGCAATCAGCAATCAATACATTTGTGCGTATATGATCCTTTTTCTAAAGTATAATGTTTTTTTTTTCTTGTCTGCCAAAGATGTTTTATTAATTTTATGTCGGATTCATCAAACGGTTATTATTGTGATGTTCACTTTTTTGTATAGAATATCTTGTGAGCTTCGATAATTTTACTCGGTAGTATATGGTGTTGACATCTTTTTCTTTTAAGTATCATGGCAATTTAATTAAGATATATAAATTCAGATCCCCCACGGCAAGGCTGCTATTGCATTTCGTAGTAGCAAATGTATTTTCTTTGTTACATATAAATACAAACTAATCTTATATCAGTATTAAAAACTAAAAGAACAAATCACTCTATTATAAGTTTATTACAATGTATTATTGAATGAAATTTTCGACATTGGCCTTTTCGAACATATTTTGGAGTATCCCAGAGAATCGGTTCTTCAGCAAATTTGCAATGATTAATTTGACAGTAAAAGATGCTTTCTTTAACTCTGTTCGAAAAGAAGTGGGATTATTTCACTCTGCATTAAAGTATATAATACTTAATCACTTAGTTTAGGATTAGATAAAGTAAAATGATATGAAATTGACCAAACTTGGCAGGCAAAACTGTTATATTTTTTAATACTTAAGTTCTTGCAACGAATAAGAAAAGAAACTCTGATACGAAAATCACAACTCGACAACTCAAAATCAAATATGTCTTTTAAACTTAGCAAAATACATGCTTTTGACATGACATAAAATTATTCATACATCGTTGCAGCAATGAATATAATCATTTGGAACATACCACTATTTTGTGCGATGTTGACTTTTGTTCACTTTTTTCCAAATGTTAACGTCAATAAAAAGTGTTGAACTTGTTGTTCCTTATCAGTTACTAATTATTTCTTATGTATGTTTTTAGTGATTAACCTGCCCATGCTCTTCCATGTGCCCTGTCCTGTTTTTATTTGGGGTCCTCCTAGGCTCCTTGCCACTGGCTCTGTTGCTGGATCATGTGGGGCTGCGTTCATTGAACGCCGCCTTTCCTTGTTGATCTTGTTTATCATATTTTGACAAATGTTCCAATGTTGATGTAATTTAAAATCACAAATTGTGCGAGATGGACGTGTAACACACTCTTAACGTTCCTGTTA